TTGTCGACCAAAATGCTTCTCTGCCACTTCAACTCTGCTCAGCCACATCACCTTTCTCTACCACTTCCATTTCCCTGCAGAGTCTCGTCTTGTCGACAAATCTGCTCTTTGTCGACTGCCCTTTCTGCAGGGGCTCATGTCCGCAGACTTCGTTGATATGCCACTTCTGCAGATTTCCGCAGCCTTTGCAGGATCCGGGCTATTTTCAATGCTCCTTTGCACTGGTCATGCGAAATCACCAACCAACAAAGAACCGATCTAGAGGAAATCCTAAGGAAAACACACAAAATGAACACACAAGAACTTGCGAGAATCTGCACTTCTTCGCATGCTTGAATCACCGCACCAGCCATGAAAAAGGTCATGGTGCCTACTCTTCCTCAGAAGAGACTCCTTCTATGCTCCCCTCAGACAATCGCACTTGACCCACCCTGCCGAAGCATCGATCGAGTGCACGAAAATGCAAGGCCTTGGTCAAGTAATCTGCCGGCTACTTGTTCGTTGGGATGTACTGCAATTTCAACTTTCGATGCTCGACCATCTGCTGCACCTACATGTACCGCCGCTTCATATGCTTAAAGCTCCCTTTGAGCCCCATCCCTTCCGACACACAAATGGCAGATTGATTGTCGACATAGAGCATCGTGGGCTCATCCTCGTCGAGGAGCTCAGCTCTGCCAGCAAAAAGCGCAGCTTGCGGGCTTCTTTGCCAGCCTCCACGGCAGAGATATACTCAGATTCCATAGACGATAGAGTGACACATTTTATCCTCTTTCTCGCCCACGAAATTGCAGCTCCGCCGAGTGTGAAAATGTAGCCACTTGTGCTGCTGCGACTCTGCCTGTCGCCAACATCGTCAGCATCTACGAAACCGATGAGGCGCTGATTTGTGGCTTCTCCACCGAGCTCGAGAGCCACATCGTGAGTCCCCATGAGATAAGTAATGCAACGGTCGAGCTCTTTCCAGTGCTGATCACGTCAAACAGTCTGCCCAGGCACGAGCTTGCTGTAGGCGGAAGCGATCTTTGGACATGTCCTGCAGGCGGTGAACTGCAGAGATCCCACTCTCTAGCGATACTCTTCCTTTGTTCGTCCCTGCAACTCTGCATCGTCAAACGTCAGCTCCTTGAATGCATCGATAGAAATCCGCGTTTTCTAGCATTGTCGAGGAGGCCCCTCTGGCAGAAAACGCCTCTGCAACTTTGTCGATGTAGCCTCTCTTCCAAGCAGCTCTGTCCCTGATCAGCTGCAAGCCCAAGTACTTCTGTACAGGAGTGATCTCTCAAAGTTTGAACGCATTTTCGAGCAGAGTTTTCAACTCTGCCAAATGTGCCTTGCTCTGACTTGCAGCCAGCAGATCGTCGACGTAGACGAGCAGGTAGAACTTGTCACCGTGCTCATCTTCATGGAAATAGAAGGCTTCGTCGACCTGACTCTTCGACCAGCCCCCGCTCTGCAGAACTCCGTCAAGTTCTTCGTACCACAGCTTTGGACTCTGTTTAAGTTTGTAGAGACTCTTCATGAGCAGACAAACTCCGCCACTGCCGTCATCCTAGTACTTCGGCTGCTTCATGTAGAGAGAACGATCAATGGGTGCATTGAGAAACGCATTCGTCATATCGAGTTGCATCAGCTCCCTATCAAATGCCGCAACTATGAGCAGCTACAGAATAGCAGTTACGTAGCTGCCGACTGGAGCATGTGTCAAGTCGAAGTCGAGATTGGGCAGCTGCGTAAACCCTTGTACGACAAAACGTCCCTTCTCTCGCTCTACCGTATCATCAAGGAGATACTTGGTAGCGAAAACCCACCGATTTCCCATTACATTGACACCAAGCGGTCGAAAAACCGCAGAGTTCCACAGAGTTTCACCAAGTTCCTTGGTCCCACAGAGTTTGCATCTCCTTCTCCATTGCTGCCTTAACCGCAGGGCCCTTCCAACTCTTCAGAGCAATTGGGACAGGCATCTTTGAAATGTCCCAATGACGGAGGGGTTGCACCTCCACATGCATTTTGTTGTCAGAAGACGATGGCTCCCCGGCAGAGGACGACGGCTCCACTGTGGCCGGGTCTTCAGCGACACTCTTCTGGCGCTCTGGCGCGCGTCATTCACTAGGGATGACGTCGAGAGGCTCCTCACTCCCCTCCTCACCAGGGGACGACGCAGAGGTAGAGAAGGAGCTTGGCCGTGCAGAGGGGGCATCAGGCTCTTCAACCACCGGGTAATCGGCAGAAGCATCCGCACTAGGATCTGCAGAGGACGGAGTAACTTCAACAGTGGAAGGCACCGTCGACGGCAGAGTTGGTCCAGGAGTCAAAATCGGCTCAGATGGCAGAATTCGAACAGCTTCTTCATCCTCATCCTCCTTTGCTTCCTCATCTTCTTCTGCAACGAGATCCAACCATGACACTACCTTGTTGAAAACAGAAGGGTCCACAACATAAGAAGGAGTCTGTCGCATGGCTTTCCACCCATCGAGCGACAATGTCTCGTAGAAGTTTGCTTCCACCGTGGTGACCAATCGATTGGTCGTCAGATCAAGCACCAGCCATCCCTTGCTCTGCTATGATACCCCCAGGTGGAGAGCCCATGAAGCCTTAGGTGCCACCTTCCCTTCACGCTTGTTCTGCGGAATAAGAAATTGCAGCATACACTCCCAGACACGTGCCATCCACAGATCAGGGTTCTCGCCAAAGATCAGCTCGTATGGTGTTGTCCCAGATGGTAGAGAAGAATGCTCAAGACGGTTTTGCAACTACACTGCCTACAGAGTAGCAAGATGCCACCAGCGGTCTAGAGTCCCCATGTGCAGGAGGATGGTACGGACAAACTCTACCACAGTGGGCATTTCGCGCTCTGCCATCCCGTTCTGCTGCGACGTATAGGGGCATGTGAGGTCGTGCTCAATTCCTCATTCTTCAAGAAAATCGACGAACTGTCTGCCCAAAAATTTACCACCGCGATCTGATCGAAGAGCCTTCAGCATTGCCTCACACTATCATTCTGCCCTCGGAAGCCACTTCCGAAAAGTGAGCAATGCGTTGCTCTTCTTCACGATCGGGTAGACCCAGACATAGCGTGTCTTGCAGTCTTTGAGCAGAAGGAAGTAGCGGCTGCCATCCTTAGCGGGAACTCGAAAGGGCCCGCAGAGATCAACATGCACTGCTCCCAACACCTTCTTCTGATCACTCCCCTCTGCCGGAAAGGTGTGTCGGAAGAGCTTGACCCCGACACAAGAAACACAAGGCAGATCAGTGCTCGGCGTCTTCTCAATGTCCAAGCCCGTGACTGCTCTGTGCGCCGCAGTCCGCCGAATCGTCTCGAGCCCAGCATGAGCCAAACAAGCATGCCACACGTCCATAGAGGAGCACCCGCTAGTCGCCAATGTGCGTAGAGCAATCGCCTCTACCGCAAGCTTCTGCCGCGGCCATGGCTGCAGATCACTGCTGAGAACACGTCCCTTGTAACGAGCTCGTCTAAGCACACCTCCATCGGCAGAGAGCATGAGTGTCTCCTCGCCAACGTCCTGCAACTTCACTCCGCAATCCTTTAGCTGTCCGACAGAGAGCAGATTTGCTTGAATTCCCGGGATGTAGAGTACATCAGGAACCAAAATCTACTTTCCCGCCTTGCCAAGCAGAGCGATTGTTCCTCGTCCTCGAACGGCTTGGATGGCACCGTTAAATCCGCGCACTTGCTGGATTTCGCCGTCCTCTTACATGTCAATGAAGGCCTTGTTGTCTCCCATCAAGTGGTACGAACAACAACTGTCCAGCAAAACAATGGCAGGGTTCGCTTCTACTACAGCCGCAAGAGCCTGGAAGTCTGCGCCTGCTTCTGCATCCAACGAGATCAGTAGAGGTTCTGTCTTCAGCATCTCTGCAATCAAATCGACCATCGAACACGATGGTCCTTTGCGATTTGCAGAACCAGTATTGGCAGAAGAGCCGCTACTCTGCCCTCCGGATGCTGGAGCGCTTTCCCTTTTCTGCACAGGATTACCATTTTTCTTGTCCTTGCGATCGGGGCACTGAGCAGCAAAATGGCCAACTTCCCCCCATTCCCAACAAGGTTTACCCTTGTTCTTCTTGTTGGCAAATTTCTTCTTTTCGTTGTCGCTGTCCTTGGATTCTGTGGCAGAGTCTCTCGATGGAGACGTCCATCGTCTCTGTTGCTACTGCTGCTGCCAAGAAGCTTGTCCCATCGCCGCCCAGTTGGATTGCGACAGAGGAGACTCCTTACTCTGCTCGATTGACAGAGTGCACTCTTCCTCCACGATCTGGCATGTCAGGGTGAATTCGTCGAGAGTTTTTCGCACCTCCAGAAATTTCAACATGCGGCGTACATAGCTGTATTGTGCTTACAGACCTTTGATGACATGCGTCATGTAGGAAGACGTATAATACCGTACTCTTGTCATCCGCAGATTTGCAAGCAGCTGCTGCGCACGAGTGCAGTAGGCTGTAGCCGTTTCGTGCTCTGCCGTCTCCAGACTTGCCAACTGTTGCTCAAGCTGCGCAATGTAGAGATCATCCATAGCCTTATAGGTCTTCATGATGAACTGCCAGGCCGAAAAACCCGCGTCCACTCGCAGACAACTTCCCTTCAACGCCATCTTCACCGAGGGCGAACAGCAGCGCAAAATCACCATGAATGCGAGCAGCTGAGCAGAGCGGAACTGCGCGTACCGCAATGCATCTACCACAGGAGGGGTTTTCATTGACCCATCAACATGTTAGGATTAAGGACGGAGTCTAGGTGAACTTAGGAGCTAGAATTACTCAAAATATCAATCCGAAATTCTGGACAGAAAAGTCGTCTTCACAAGAAACAATGTCGACAAACAAATAGCCGTTGGAATGTCGCGAAACTCGGATATGTTGTTGCTTGTAACCTTAGCTACCGTTCTCAATTTGGATCACATTGATTAATGGAGTATTCGCGACGCTATGTCTTTCGACGCACTGAGGGGTAAGCTGTAGGAGAAGAAATTAACTCAATCTCAAAAGTTCAATCAAAGTTCAAGAATCTCACAAGGAATTAGAGGAGCAAGAGAAGGGTTGGGATAGAAGATAGGGATGAGAGGGAATGTCCTAAGAGAGTCCCCAACCAAGGAAACCCCATAAGCACAAAGATTCCCCCCCTATAGGAACCCCAACTTTGACATTTGTCCCTTCCCAACCAATCCATCCAAGTTGGCCACCCTTGCCAACCTAGCTTGGTTGTTCCCAACCAATTTGCAGCTGTTACAGTAGAGTTACAAATTTCCCCAACCCCAAAGGTCCCAACTCCATATAGAGTCACCCCACAACTTCACTTTGTAACCGCCGCAATTGTAACGCAAGCTCATGAACTTTGAATCTTCATAGCTTTCGCGTTCTTGCTCCGATTGAAGCGATTCTTGTCGCGTCGGAAAGATCTTCTCAAGATCTATCATCACAAATACCTGCTCAGACAGAATAACACAAAACACATTCCCAAACTCCAGAACACACACCACACAAATTCCTTCACACATAGTCAAACCATACATGCGAATTGAAACAAGGGATGGGAGGCAGACAGAATGTGATAGCATATGATGACATCACACAACACAACAAAATGCTTCAGCTGTGCAATCTCCAATTGGGGCACGATTGAATTGACCCATGATGCCAAGTCGTGTCATCCCTCAAGGAGCCTTGGCACAACAATCTTGTCGGGAGAAAACTTGAAGTAGCCAAACTCGGGAGCAATTCCTCCTTCCCTCGAGGCTGTCGAGAAGTAGATGGTAGAGTGGTCGGCAGCGCTCCCAGCGCCGACCCGACCAGCAGAACGGTCTCCTTCTACAGCGCTCTTCATCTTCGAGCTCGTCTCCTACTTTTGCCCAGGGTCCTTTCCGTCGCCCATGCTTGATCCTTCTCCGTTCGGCATTTCTCCTTCTCCTAGAACACCGCACGACTCTCGCAATCCGCCTTCTACCAAATCGTCCACATTCTCCAGGTCTTGGGAGACTTCCTCGACACGCGCCCGCGGATGATCCATCTCCCACTAAGCTCATAACCCCATCAGCATGAAGTTTAGACCCTTCTCTGGGAGGTCTTCATAACGAGCTATCAGGGCAGCCTCCTTGCAGGTGATTAAGCAAATAAGGGGTGATTAGTAAAGGTAGGGGTGATTTAGCAAGGTATGGGTGATTAAGAAAGGTAATGGAAATTCAGCAAGGTAGGGGAGATTCAGCGAGATAGGGAAAATTCAGCAAGGTATGGGGATTCAGCAAGAAAGGGGGAATTCAGCAAGGTAGGGGTATTTAATGCTAGGTAGGGGTTATTAATCAAGGTATGGGAGATCAAGAAATGTAGGAGTGCTTAAAAAAGGTCGGGGTAATACACCAAGTGGGAATTCAGTAGGGTAGCCGCAATTAAGCAAGGTAGGGATGATTCAGCAAGGTGGCGGGGATTAAGCAAGGTAGGGATGATTAAGAATTGTAGGGATGATTTATCAAGGCAGAAGTGATTAAGCAAGGTAAAGGGAATTCAGCAAATGGGTATAAATTCAGCAAGGTAGGGGTTATTAAGCATAGTAGGGGTGATTAAGCAAGGTAGGGGTTATTTAGTAAGGTAGGGAGAATTTAGCATGGTAGGGGGGATTCAGCAATGTAGGATTGATTCAACAAGGAAGGGGGGGTTTAGCAAGTAAGGGGGGATTCAGCAAGATAGGGGTGATTAAGGAAGTTAGGGGTGATTAAGAAAGGTAGTGGAAATTGAGCAAGGTAGGGGGGATTCAGCAAGAGGGGGGAATTCAGAAAAGTAGGGATGATTAGTGCTAGGAAGGGGTTTTTAATCAAAATATGGGAGAATAAGCAAGTTAGGAGTGCTTCAATAAGGTAGGGGGAATTCAGCGAGGTAGTGGAAATTCAGCAAGGTAGGCATAATCAAGCAAGGTAGTGATGTTTCTGCAAGGTGGGGGGGATTCAGCAATGTAGGGATGATTAAGCATCATAGGGATGATTAATCAAGGTGGGGGTGATTAAGCAAGGCAGGGGTGATTAAGAAAGGTAGGGGTGATTAAGAAACGCAGGGATGATTCAGCAAGATAGTAAGAATTGAGGAAGGTAAGGGTAATTAAGCTACATAGGGGTGATTCTGCAAGATAGGGAGAATTCAGCAAGTAAGGGGGGGAATTTAGCAAGGTATGGATGATTAATCAAGGTAGAGGTCATTAAGCAAGGTAGGAGTGATTAAAAAAGGTAGGTGGAATTCAGCAAGGTAGGGCTGATTAAGCAAGGAAGGGGGGATTCAGCAAGGTAGGTGGGATTCAGCAAGGTATGAATGATTAAGCAAGGTAGTTGGAATTCTGCAAGATAGGGATGATCAAGCAAGGAAGGGGTGATTCAGCAAGGGAGAGGGAATTCAGCAAGTTGGTGGAAATTCTGCAACGTAGGGATGATTAAGCAAGACACACGTGATTGAGCAAGGTATGGGTGACTAAGCAAGGTAGGGGTGATTAAGAAAGGTAGGGATGATTCAACAAGATAGGGAGAATTCAGCAAGGTAGGGGTGATTAAGCAAGGTAGGGGTGATTCAGCAACGTAGGGTTGATTAAGCATCGTAGTGGGAATTCAGCAAGGTAGGGATGATTAATGTAGGTAGGGTTGATTCCGAGAAGGAGGGGAAATTCTGTTAGAATTAAGGACGGAGTCTAGGTGAACTTAGGAGCTAGAATTACTCAAAATATAAATCCGAAATTCTGGACAGAAAAATCATCTCCACAAGAAACGTTGTCGACAAAGAAATAGCCGTTGAAATGCTGCGAAACTCGGATGTGTTGTTGCTCGTAATCTTAGCTACTGTTCTCAATTTGAATCACGTTGATTGATGGAGTACTAGAGATGCTATGGCTTTCGACACATGGAGGGGTAAGCTGTAGGAGAAGAACTTAACTCAATCTCAAACTTCAATCAAGGTTCAAGAATCTCACAAGGATTTAGAGGAGCAAGAGAAATGTTGGAAGGGAAGAGAGGGATGAGAGGGAAGGTCCCAAGAGAGTCCCCAACCAAGGAAACCCCATAAGCACAAAGTTCCCTCCCTATAGGAACTCAACTTTGACCTTTGTCTCTTCCCAACCAATCCATCCAAGTTGGCCACCCTTGCCAACCTAGCTTGGTTGTTCCCAACCAATTTGCAGCTGCTACAGTAGAGTGACGAATTTTCCCAACCCCAAAGGTCCCAAATCCATATTGAGTCACCCCACAACTTCACTTTGTAACCGCCGCAATTGTAACGCAAGCTCATGAACTTTGAATCTTCATAGCTTTCGCGTTCTTGCTCCGATTGAAGCGATTCTTGTCGCGTCGGAAAGATCTTCTCAAGATCTATCATCACAAATACCTGCTCAGACAGAATAACACAAAACACATTCCCAAACTCCAGAACACACCACACACAAATTCTTGCACACGTTCAAACCACACATGCAAGTTGAAAACATGGGATGGGAGGCAGACAGAATGTGATAGCATATGATGACATCACACAACAGCAAGATAAAGAGGACTGAGCAAGGTAGGGGAGATTCAACTAGATAGGGTGAATGTAGCAATTTAGGGGTGATATTGCTTTGCAAAGATGATTCAGCAAGGAAGGAGGGGTTCAACAAGGTAGGCGAGATTCAGCAAGTTAGGGAGGATTCTGGAATATAGCGGTGACTCTGCAAAGTCGGAATGATTAATCAAGGTAGGGGTGATTGAGCGAGGAAGATAGAATTCAGCAAGAAGGTGGGAATTCAAAAAGGTAGGGGTGATGAAGCAAGGTAGGGGTGATTGATAAAGGGAGGGATGATTCAGCAAGAAAGGGGGGATTCAACAAGAAAGGGATGATTAAGCAAGGGAGGGGTGATTAATCATGGTAGGGGTGATTGAGCAAGGTAGGGGTGATTAGGCAAGGAATTGGAAATTCAGTAGGGTAGGGGAGATTCAGCGAGATACGGAATATTCAGCAAGGTAGGGGGGATGAAGCAAGGTAGTGGGAATTCAGTAAGGTATACATAATTTAGCAAGGCATAGATGATTCGGCAACGTGGGGATGATAAAGCATTGTAGGGATAATTAATCAAGGTACAGGTGATTAATCAAGGTAGAGGGAGTTCATCAAAAGGGAGGGAATTCAGCAAAGTAGGGGAAATTAAGCAAGGTAGGGGTGACTAAGCAAGCTAGGGGTAATCAAGCAAGGAAATGGTGATTCAGCAAGTTAGGGAGAATTCAACATAGTAGATAGGGGGCATTCAGCAAGGTAGGGATGATTAAGCATCGTAGGGATTTTTAATCAAGGTAGGGGTGACTGAGCAAGAGGAAGAGAATTCAGCAAGATAGGGATGATTCAGAGAGGTAGAATTCAACAAGTTAGGGGTGATTAATGCTAGGTAGGAGTTATCAGTCAAGGTGTGGGAGACTAAGCAAGGAAAGAATGCTTAAACAAGGTAGGGGGAAAACAACAAGGTAGTGGAAATTCAGCAAGGTTGGTGTAATTAAGCATGGTAGGGATGATTCAGCAAGGTGGGGGGGATTCAGCAAGGTAGGGGTGATTAAGAATTGTAGGGATGATTTATCAAGATAGAAGTGATTTATCAAGGTAGGGAAATTCAGCAAAAGGGTGGTAATTCAGCAAGGTAGGGGCAACTAAGCAAGGTCGGGGTGAATAAGTAAGTTAGGGGTGATTTAGCAAGGTAGGGGTGATTATGCAAGGTAGGGGTGATCAAGAAAGGGAGGGATGATTCAGCAAGATAGAGAGAATTCAACAAAGTAGGGGGGATTCTGCAATGTAGGGTTGATTCAACAAGGAAGGGCGCATTAAGCAAGGTAGGGGTGATTAATGCTAGGTAGGGGTTAATAATCAAAGTATGGGAGACTAAGCAAGGTAGGAGTGCTTCAACAATGTGGGGGGAATTCAGCGGGGTAGTGGGAATTCAACAAGGTAGGCGTAATCAAGCAAGGTAGGGATGTTTGTGCAAGGTGGGGGGATTCAGCAAGGTAGCGATGATTAAGCATCATAGGGATGATTAATCAAGGAAGGGGTGATTAAGCAAGGTTGAGGGAATTCATAAAACTAGGTGTGATTAAGCAAGGTAGTGGGAATTCAGCAAGATAGTGTAGGGATGATTCAGCAAGGAAAGGGGTTATTAAGCAAGTTAGGGGCTATTAAGCATGGTAGGGGAGATTATGCAATGTAGGGTTGATTAAGCAAATAGGGAGAATTGAGCAAGGTAGGGGTGATTAAGGAAGGTAGGGAGGATTCAGATAGGTAGGGAGAATTCAGCAGGGAAGAGAGATTCAGCAAGGTTGGGTTGATTCAACAGCGAAGGGAGGATTCAGCAAGGTAGGGTTGATAAAGCAAGGTAGGGGTGATAAATAAAGGTAGGGATGATTGAGCAAGGTAGGGTTCATTGAGCAAGTTAGAAGTGATTCAGCAAGGAAGGGGGAATTCAGCAAGGTAGGGTTGATTAAGCAAGGTAGGGTTGATTCAGCAAACGAGGGGGGATTCAGCAAGGGAGGGGTCATTAAGCAATGTAGGAGTGATCAGAAAAGTTAGGGGGAATTCAGCAAGGTAGGGATGATTAAGGAAGGTAGCGGGGATTTAGCAAGGTAGCGATAATTCAGCAAGGTAGGGGGGATTCAGCAAGGTAGGGTTGATTCAACACGGAAGGAGGGATTCCGCAAGGCAGGGGGGATTCAGCAATATAGGGGTGATTAAGCAAGGTAGGGGTGATTAATAAAGGTAGGGGTGATTAAGCAAGGTAGGGATGATTAAGCAAGGTACTGGCAATTTAGCAAGGGGTGATTCAGCAAGATAGGGAAAGTTCTGCAAGGAAGGAGGGAGGGGGGATTCAGAAAGTTTTAGGGTTTAGAATGAGACTAAGCAAGGAAGGAGTGCTTAAACAAGGTAGGGGGGAGTCAGCCACGTGATGGGAATTCAGCAAGGTAGGCGTAATTATGCAAGGTAGAGATGATTTTGGGATGATTAAAAATGGTAGGTGTGATTGATCAAGGTAGGAGAGATTTAGCAAGGAAGGGGGAGTTCAGCAATATAGGCTTGGTTAAGCAAGGTAGTGAGAATTCAGCAAAGAAGGGATGATTAATATGTGTAGGGGTGATTAATCAAGATAGGGATGATTCAGCAAGGTAGGGGTGACTCAGCAAGGTAGGGTTGATTAATCAAGGTAGGGGTGATTAAGCAAGGAAGAGGGAATTCTGCAAGGGGATGGGAATTAAGCAAGGTAAGGGTGATTAATAAAGTTAGTTGTGATATAGCAACATAGGGGTGATTAATCAAGCTAGGGGTGATAAAGCAAGGATGGTAAGGAGGAATTCAGCAAGGTAGTGGGAATTCAGCAAGATAGGGGTGATTAAGCAAGCTAGGGGTGATTAGGCAAGCTAGGGGTGATTCAGCAAGGTAGTGTGACTTCAGCAAGATAGGGGGAATTCAATAAATTAGGGTTGATTAGGCAAGGAAGGGGTGATTAATAGGGATATAGGTGATTAAGCAAGACAAAGGTGATTCACCAAAGTAGAGGTGATTCAACAAGGGGTGATCAAGCAAGCTAGAGGCGATTGAACAATGCAGTGAGTACTCTGCAAGGTCGGGGTGATTAAGCAAGATAGGAGTGATTCAGCAAGATAGGGAGAATTCAGCAAGGTAGTGGGGATTCTGCAATACATGGGAAATTCAGCAATTTAGCGGTAATCAAGCAAGTTAGTGGTGATTCAGCAAGGAAGGGGGAATTCAGCAACATTTGGGTCATTAACCAAGATGGGGGGAATTCAGCAAAGTAGGGGTGATTAAGCAAGTTAGTGGGAATTCAGCAAGGTAGGGGGGATTAAGCAATGTTGCAGTGATTCAGCAAGGTAGGTGTGATTGATCAAGGAAGGGAAATTTAAGCCAGGAAGAGGGAATTCAGAAAGGGGGTGGGAGCTCAGCAAGATAGGGGTGATTAAGCAAGGAAGGGGGGGTTCAGCAAGGTAGGCGAGATTCAGCAAGGAATGGGGGATTCAGCAATTTAGCAGTGATTCAGCAAGGTAGGGGTGATTGATCAAGGTAGGGGAGATTAAGCAAGGAAGAGGGAATTCAGAAACGGGGTGGAAACTCAGCAAGGTAGGGGTGATTACGCAAAGTAGGGGTGATTCAGCAAGGAACGAGGGATTCAGCAAGGTCAGGGTGATTAATAAAGGTAGGGGTGGTTAAGCAAGGAAGAGGGAATTCAGCAATGTAGGGGTGATTAACCAACGTACGGGGGATTCAGCAAGAAAGGGGGAACTCAGCAAGGTAGGGATAATTAAGCATCGTAGGGATGATTAATCAAGGTAGGGGTGACAAAGCAAGGCAGAGGGAATTCAGCAAGATGAGGAGTAGGTAGGGATGATTATGCAAGAAAAGGGGGATTCAGCAAGATATTGGGAATTCAGCAAGGGAGGGGAGATTAAGCAAGGTATGGGTGATTAAGCAAGATAGGGGTGATTAAGCAAGGCAGGGGTCATAAAACAAGGCAAGGGTGATAAAACAAGGTAGGGGTGATTAAGCAAGGTAGGGGTGATTAAGAAAGGTAGGGATGTTTCAGCAAGAAAGGGAGAAGTCAGCAAGGTAGGTTTGATTAAGCAAAATAGGGAGAATTCAGCAAGGTAGGGGGGATTCAGCAAGGTAGGGTTGATTCAACAAAGAAGGGGGGATCCAGCACGGTAGAGATGATAATGCAAGGTAGGGGTGATAAATATGGGAAGGGGAGATTGTGCAAGGAAGGAGTGATTTAGCAAGGAAGGGAGTATTCAGCAAGGTAGGGTTGATTAAGAAAGGGAGGGATGATTCAGCAAGATAGGGGGAATTCATCAAGGTAGGGATGATTAAAGCCCGACCGGCAGGTTGCATACTGGTACTGTTGAAGTAGGTGGGGCGGCAGGTTACGATTGGTTGACGAGGAAAAAGACAAGCGAAATGTTTTTGCGAAACTTCATATTCGTCCACCTCGTGCTTGCGCGGGAGTTCCCAAGGGCTACGCAACCTGGCAGAGGTGTCACGTTTGAGCCCCGTCATTTGGCAGGGGACTCACACCTGCCTCTTTGCCATGTTGCAAGGGGGGTTTTCGTGCCTGCGTTTTTGCGCTAACAGCCCAATCGTTTTTTTTTTTGTTAGGGCAAGTTGAAAGGAAACGAGACTCAACTATTGGGCTTCGGTTTCGCCCTTGTGCAATCAAACACACATTGGTACACTTGCGCTAAACCGCTTGAAAGTCAAACTTTTAACGAGTAATTACCCTTTGAGCACACTTCGTGCTTGTTCACCTCGATACTTGGCAGGGACGCAAACTTGCCAAGTTTGTCGAGGCACAGAGTTTAGGAGTTTGAGTCACGTCAACCACTGCTGCGCGTGGGTTCGGTTACAGTTTCTCAAGATGTAGCATCTTGAGAAAAAGAGAGTTGCAACCTGCTGGTCGGGCTTTAAGTATTGTAGGGATGATATCAAGGTACGGGTGACTAAGCA